CTCGGATCGGCGCTGGACCCCCCTCCCTGGCGCGCGCAGCGCGCCAGGGGCGGCGCCGGAGGCGCCGCCGGGGGGCCCCAGCGCCGATCCGAGAAATCCGCGCGGACCTCCGAGTTTTTATGTTTATGTCACTTTTTGTTCCCCTACCATCTACTCGGACCCCATCTAGGAGGCCCAGAGCATGAGTCATTGCCCCGCCCTTGGCCCCCTCCCCGAGGGTACCGCCAGCGGGGAAGGTGCGGGCTCCTCGTGAAAGCGGCCACCTGCGACGAGGAACAGCCACCCAAACATGTGGGCGTCGTGAGCAAGATCACGACGGGAGGCTTTGGGCCGTTCTAGAGGCCTCCAAGGGCCCTCGCCGGGCCTCAGAACAATCCGCTGGCCCCCTCGTGGGGCCACCAGGCTGTAGGCTCCGGGTTTGCTGTTCCCTGCGCCAGTTCCAATTTCCAGTTTCCACTGTTACAGTTCTGCTTCTTGGCGCTCACTGTTCCTTGTTGTAGACCGCGCGAGGGGGGGAGCCGAAAACCGCCCTGGTTAGCGACTCCCGGGATAAGTCTCAGAATTTCTGCGGGGGTCGAAATTGACACCCCTCACGCAGATCGGCGGGGTCAGGGTCCAAAAACACATGGGATTAGCCACATTTCTACAATTCGGTGGCACCTCTCACGCAGATCGGCGGGGTCAGGCTCGAAAAGCATATTGGATTTGCAACATGATGTCTGAAATTCGGTGGCACCTCTCGCGCAGATAAGCAGGGTCAGGGTGTAAAAACAAATGGGATTAGCCACATTTCTAAAATTCGGCGGCGTCTCTGCCACATTTCTGAAAATTCGGCGGCACCCCTCACGTAGATCGGCGGGATCAGAGTCGAAAAACCAGTGGGGGTTGCCACATTTCTGAAATTTCAGCGGCACCCCTCACGTAGATCGGCGGGATCAGAGTCGAAAAACCAGTGGGGGTTGCCACATTTCTGAAATTCGGTAGCACCCCTTACGCAGATCGCACGGGTTAGGGTCGCAAAACCCATGGGATTTTCTACATTTCTGAAATTCGGTAGCACCCCCCACGCATATCAGCAAGGTCAAACACTAAAGCCACAAAGGATATCAGCGGGGTCAGAATCAAAAACTCGGTGGCACCGCTCACGCAGATCGTCAGGGTCAGGGTCGAAAAACCTATGGGATTTGCAACATGTTTGTAATTCGGTGCCACATGTCTTGAAATTCGGTGGCACCCCTCACGCAGATCGGCGGGGTCAGGGTCCAAAAACACGAGGGGTTTGCCAAATTTCTGCAATTCGGTGGCACCCCTCTTGTAGATCGGCGGGGTCGGGGTGTAAAAACACATGGGATTAGCCACATGTCTTGAAGTTCGGCCGCCCCCCTGACACAGATCGGCGGGGTCAGGGTCCAAAAGCACAAGGGACTACACACATTTCTGAAATTCGGTGGCACTCCTCATGCAGATCGGCGAGCCCAGGGTCGAAAAACACATGGGATTTGCAACATGTTTGTAATTCGGTGCCACCTCTCACGCAGATTGGTGGGGTCAGGGTCGAACAACATATGGTATTTGCAAAATTTCAATACTTCGTAGAAAAGCTTTTTGCACAGCATACGCGAGCAAGCTCGAAATACAACACCGAATTCAACAATATCATCAGAATTTCAATTTGTCTTGCCGAGTACTCATCGTTTTCGCGTGAAGTCCCGACGCTGCTTCACGGCGGCACCAAGGCCTCATGATTTCGCTCTTGCATTGCCCATTATCCGAGAAAGGGGGCCGGCGGCAGGGGGCGAAGCCATTACGGATAAATAAAAAAACAGCCTGGGATGACACACGGGCCCAGGAAAGAGTCGGGACTTCCGGGGGCCCTGAACAGAAAACATCAAGACGATGAAGGTAGGGAAACATATTCGTCTCGCAATAACAGGGCCTCCGATGCATGGTAACCAAAGCTGGCGCTCGGTCCAAGACTCGTGTGAGGAAAACCGTTCGCCATGAAAACGCAGAACTCGGGGCACCTTTTCTTTGTCATTTCCAGAAATGTCCCTGGCCAGAGTGAAGGGGCCCTGGGACACACAAATAAATACACACAAATAACAGGATCCCCCATATTTTCCCATAGTTTCTAGGCTTTTGTCTTCCCCCCCCACACTTCCCATATTTTCCCATATCTTCTGGGGAATCGACGGTGAATTGTGTCTGTGTGTTTTTTGTCCCTCCTGACAGAGGCGGCCACAGGCCATCCAGGGAGGCACGCACAGGCGGCCTCCAGTGCACCCCCCTCGCGTATCCGGTGGCAAGGAGGGTGCTGATGGGCCAGGGGGCAAGCAAACCTGCCTTGCTTTGGACCACCTTCGCTTCCCAGAGATACCGAGCGGTGCCAAACTACGGCCCGCACTGGTCAGGCCGCTTGACGAGGAGGCGAGTGGTATGACTTGGTTTTGCCTGGAAGCGAAAGCGGGGTAGGTAATTCGCGCTCTGAGAGGGCGCCCTTCACTGTCGCAGCGACGGCGGCCACGCGCCGCGCTCCAAAAGCCCGAGCGGGGCCGCCGCCGGGCGCAGAGCTGCTGGAGACGCCCCGGGCGCGATGGGAGCGCCCCCTGGCGGGTCCCGGGTCGACACGTCCGCGGGGCAATGAGGAGCCCCACGCCTTGGAGGGGGCCGGGGAGAGATAGGTAAAACAGGGCTAGAATCGGGATAACTCGCTCCAGAGCGTCCCGGAGCGCTCTCAGAGCGTTCCGGAACGCTCTGGAGCGGCCGCGGCGCCCAATACATCCTCCAAACCCGCCGGTTCTCAGAGATTTCGAGTGATCCCGATCCGATTTTGCCCCGATCTTCGCGTCGTTTTATCAGGGTGGCCAGCGGGGAGAGCGGGACTGCGAGCCGCGGCCGCGCCGGCCGTGCCACCCTCTGGGCTCCGGGGGCTCGGGAGCTCCGCAGCGGCCGGGGGGAGCCGTGCCGCGAGAGGGGGCGGCCTCGTGGGCGAGGCGGCGGCTCGGCGCGCGCCGGGCGAGTTTCCACGGAAGGGGGGAGGAGGAGGAGCAGGGAGGAGCAGGGAGGAGAGGAGGAGGAGGATGGAGGAGGGAGGAGGAGGAGGAGGGAGAGGAGGGGGAGGGAGGAGAGGAGGAGGAGGAGACGGGAGAGGGGAGGAGGAGGAGGAGAGAGGAGGAGGAGGAGGAGGAGGAGGAGGAGGAGGAGGAGGAGATGAGGAGGAGGAGAGAGGAGGAGGGGCAGGAGGAGGAGGACAGGAGGAGGGAGGAGTGGAGGAGGAAGGGGAGGAGGAGGGGGCGGAGAGGGAGGAGGAGCAGGAGGAGGCGGAGGAGGAGGAGGAGGAGGAGGGGCGGCACTGTTGGGGCAGCTCTCCATCGAATCTGCTGGCAGGCGTTGGAGCCACGGAAGGTTGGCAGCTTCCTGCCCCTCCAGTGCACCAGGCACCGAAAGGCAAGCCTCATGCGAATGTGTTCATGACCGGGGGAGCGATACAACGACGGGTCAGTCTCCGATGCTTGCCGAGACAAGGAGATACAGACGGTGGCATGGTCCCGCTACGTCGCAGCCACCTCGCGCGTCTCGTCACCACACCGCGCCTCTGCTGGAGCTGCCTTGCAAGCACCTGCATTCCTCGTCATGGTATGCCTCCTCCTTGTAGCTTTACAAACAAGGTCTGGTGGTTGTGACGAGTCCCTGGTCACCCCATAGCTACTGACATAGCTGTGACCCAGACCGCCCGTAGCCAACCTATGAGTGATAGGATGCCAACACCATGGCGCCATGGCTCTCATAGCTTCTACGACTGCGCAATGTATATCGCAACCACGACCGCTCTAACAGCTACCCTGTGGTTCTCTGAACATTGCACTTAACATTGCGAATTGCAGACTGCAGATTTTTGTTTGGCATGGGCAGTAAATGTTACACCCATCTCACCACTATAAGTCAAAAGGGCCCTGTATCGACTACGGGTTCGCAGTTTCGCTACTGGTGGGTGCCACGCATGCGTCAGGAGGGCGCTCTGGCGACTGTCAACGACTGCCAATTTGCTTGACCACTCCATTATAACGTTCATCTATTGCGCCTGGCCCTAAACACTCGATGAAAAAACATGCGAGTCAATATGCACGCGCACCCATCCGACACTCGATACGGTTCGCACGTGCTGTGCTCTTTGCGCTTCTACAGTCTAACGCCAGCACTGCAATCGTGCTGCTCTGAACCAAAATCAACCAAGCTGCCGTCTCACCACAACGCGCTCATACCCGAACTGAACATGTGCCCCATCGGTTGATAAGACTCTCGATGATCGTATGACTTCTTGCTGCGTCATTTTTTTTCAGAGGGAGCGCCGGATTGCGTTCGAAAGCCTCGCATGCCTGATTACGACTGAGTGCCCAACTTACCATTGATATTTACAGCTCGCCGGGGCGCCCATTGGATTCACAATGGGCACCTGCCCCTCGTAGAAATCGACAGCGAACTGTGATCGAGGTGGCCTGGGCGCTGGCGCGCCCATGCACACGTAAAAGAGGCTGCGGCACTCCAGATTTTTGGAGCACCCCACAATGCGCCAACAAAATTGCTCATGTATACGAGGTGCTGGCAGGAGCAGCGCGAATGAATGGCCCGATTCAGGCTGGAGATAGTCGTGGGACACAGCTAAATCATGCATGCGTGACCCACTGGATGGGTAACGTTCTCACCCGTCGGGTGCCAAGGCGGATGCTATTGCGTATGCTGTCCCTCTGGCGCGCGGAAAGCGGCGCGGCATGACTCATCCAAGAGGCCTCGTGCCGTGTGCCCCTGCGCATCCAAAAAATATGTAAAAAGAGCCCGCGTACACCTAGAGTTAGGTCGGGCGTGTCCTCCTACAGGGGGATTTTGGACGACAAATAGAAAATAACCAAAACATATCCCAGAATTGACAAAAATCGTCCCCAGACTATTTTGTTTACTGTTTTTGAATATTCCTCCTGTCGAGGAACAGGCCCGACTCTAAGCTAGAAGTCTGTGATTTTCTCCTGCACGGTGGCCTAAAATCGCCTGGCCAATATGCTCTGGCTCCCGCACGGCCTACCCCAGCGGCACACGCAGGCGCAACACCGACAGCACGGCCCGATGGTCGCTCGGCCACGGATCGCAACCAGCGGTTCGCGAGTCAATTGTGCTGCTGGACTCGACTGTCGCCAAGCTGCCACGATCCGCATACACAAAATCGATGCGATCCCAAATCTTCTTGGGCTCTTCCTCGGGCAAGGCAGCCCATGTGATCCCTGGGGCATCGTGCACTCCATGTCGCCAGGCGCCCAGGTGCGTCGGGTTTGCCTCCGCATAGGTGTCGACGAGGCCCGCCGCGGCGCACAGGGCGCTGCAGGGCGCAGCGTACTCCGCCCCGTAGTCCAAGTGAGAAGCGCAGTTGAAGTCGCCCGTGAGCAGCAGCGGTGGGCGTGGGCCGGTAGAGCAGCTGCAGAGATGGCTGAGCACGGCCGCCAGAATCGGCAGCTGTGTCGTCGCCTCCACGCGGATGGCCTCTCCGGCCGACCTCCCCTCGGCTCGCAGCTCGTACGGAGGGTACGGGTAGGGCTCCAAATGCACATTGGCATGGCGAAGGATGAATGGCTCCGCGCGACCTTCGACGGGCGCGTGAACGGCAACAACACCGCCACCGTAGTGATCATCAAATATGCATTCTAGCGGAAAGCGCGACACCACGCCCTGCCTCCCGAGAGCATAATAGTTGAGCCCGGCATCACGAGCGATGCGTTGCACTGTTGCCTCGCTTGCCTCCTGCAACCCCACGATGTCGGGCCTCAGAGTTCGGATGACCTCGATGGTCCTCTCCAGGGAGCGCCCTCCATCTCTCCAGACGTTGAAGGACATGACGCGGAATGCGGCCGTTCCGTCGTCGCCCAGGACGATCGGGTCTGGAGGTGGCGGAGGGTCTGGGGAAGCGCCATGCACCACGCCACAGATGCCGACCTCCTCGGCGGAGACCGGTCCGGCGAGAGGCTCGCTCCCACGCGAGCAGTGCCCGCTGACGTGCCGCAGCTTTGGCGACGAGTGCAGCTGCCCCAGCTGGCCACCAAGCGTTTTACCGAAAAGGTGGTGATGACCCTGCGAGTCGGTGGTGCACAACACTTCCTGAAGCTCTTGCCCCTCAACGTCAGCTGCGCACGGGCCCGTGTCGTCCACCCGAACGGAGATGTCAACATCATCGCGATGGCCTCCGATATTTGCCCGCTTCGCCTTGAAGCGGCGCTCACTGGTACAGGAAAAATCGAAATGGCTGGCCGAATCGCTCTTCAACACAATTGGTGTGCGGTTGCCCTTTCCGTTGAAATACACAACGCCTGAAATACCATCACCTTCTTGGAAACTTGGCCCAGCCAAGAATTTCGCACCGCGCGACCATTGACCACTTGATGCGTCAATGGTCAAGCTTGAACTCCCGCCAGTTGTGAGTTCCTGCTTCATACTCAAGTGTGCAATCCTCGACGGCAGCATCCTGATGAAGTACCATCGGTTCAACATTGCAGCTTAATTTTCAAATCGTATGTCCGACTCATGCAAGTTCCCTGCGCAATTCCTGCGTATCTGAATGGACCGCCGCAAGTTACACCAACGTCTACGAAGTCCTGGTGGGATTCGATGGGAGGCGCTCGTTCGGGCGCGGACATCGAAGAATAACACAAACTGCAGAAACAAAAACTGCTTGAGGTCCTCGCTGATGTATTGGTTCGGAGCGCGCAACGGGCGGTGCCAGAGGCGCCCTGGGGGGTCCAGCGCCGATCCAAATCATCTTACGGACCTCCGAGAATGCATGTTTTAGTAATTTCCTGTTGGTGTTGTTGTTTTCTCACTCCTGAAGAATACGTATTGTTGATCCCACCTCCGTTAAAATTTATGTTTTTCAATTGCAGTGCCCCTCCTGGGGCTCGCACCCCATACTTCACAAGAGAATCTATTGCGCGTCAGATTGGCCCCTGAGACCCCGAATATCAACAGCAACAACAACAACCACAACAACAACAACAACCATATCAAGACTGCTCGCCCTTATCTGCTCGAGTGTCCAATAACGCGTATGTCCCAAACCCTCGATACCCGCCCTCTACGCCTTCGATCGAGCCCCTTTTCGGGTGTATACCTTTCTTCCCTGCAGGCCGGGCCCCGGCAAGCGGCGGGGCGGCCGCGGACCGTCGGCCTGGCCAGCGGCAGCGCTGATCGGCGGGGCGGCCGCGGACCGTCGACCCGACCCCCAGAGGGACGGACAGGGAACCGACCACGACGGACGACGACGACGACGTCGACGACGACGACGACAACAACGATGACGGCGACGACGACGACGAGCGAAAGCGAGAGCGAGAGAGAACGACAGCAGGGCCACGAAGGACACGTAGGCCACGAAGGGCGACAGCGGGCACACGAAGGGAATGCGTATGGGGCCACGAAGAGCGCGAACGAGCGGGGGCCACGAAAAGCAGATAATGCGGGGCCACATTTGGCAACGATGGGGCCACTGAAGGTAGCAACTAGGCCACGTAGGACAGTGAGGGGGCCACACACGGCGACAGCGGGGCCACGAAGGGCATGCACATGGGGCCAAAACCGGCGCGAACGAGCGGGGGCCACGAAGGGCATACGTATATTGGGCCGCGGAGGGCAAGAACGGGGCCACTGAGGGCAGCAACGGGGCCACGAAGGGCAGCGAGGGGGCCACGAAGGGCGACAGAGGGGCCACGAAGGGCATGCATATGAGGTAACCGCGGGCGCGGCCACAAAGGGCATACATATATGGGGCCACGAAGGGCAGCGAAGGGGCCACGAAGGGCTGCAACGGGGCCACGAAGGGCAGCGAGGGGGCCACGAAGGGCAGCGAGGAGGCCACGAAGGGCTGCAGCGGGGCCACGAAGGGCAGCGAGGAGGCCACGAGGGGTTGCAACGGGGCCACGAAGGGCAGCGAGGGGGCCACGAAGGGCTGCAACGGGGCCACGAAACAAAGCGAGGGGGCCACGAAGGGCTGCAACGGGGCCACGAAGGGCAGCGAGATCCAGATTCCTAGGTAATCTGTGAGGGAATCCTAAGCGTGAGCGCGACTCCTGGGCGCCTGGGTGTCGGGAGCGCGGCGCTTGAGTAAATTGCGAGAAAGTCCAACGCAAGGGCGCTATTCTATAGAAAATTGCGAGCAAGTCTCCAGCGAGAGCGCGACTCCAGAACGCCGGGAGAGCGATTCCTGAAAAAATTGTAAGGAAATCCCAAGCGAGAGCGCGATTCCTGAATAAAATGCGAGGAAGTCTCGGGCGGGAGCGGGGGTCCTGGCTAAATTGTAAGGAAGTTTCAGGCGGGAGCCGTTGTTGTTGTAAACTGGGGGCCAACGACACAGTTTGACTCTCAAAACTTCCCCTGATAACAAAAAACAAGGTGCGAGCCCCTGGAAAGGCACTTCAATCGAAAAAAACAATGTGCACCGGACGGGGGGGATCAACAATAATTATTCTTCAGAAGTGAGAATTCATCAACAACAACAACACCAACAACAACAACAACAACAACAACAATCATTTTAAGACTGTTCGCTCTTACTTGCCCGCGTGCCATGCAACGTGTATACCCACGCCCTCGATACCCGCCCCCTTCGTCTTCGAGCGTACCCTCTTCTGGGGGGATTCTTTCTTTTTGCGGGGGCGGGCGGGCTTAGACAAGCGGGCGTGAACGGGCGGGGAATTATTCGGAGGATGGGGCACGCATCTCTTTGCCCACCATTGGAATTAGCGCGGGCCCTGCACGAAGAGGAAGGAGGAGAACGAGGGGGAGTGGGAGGAAGGGAGGGGGAGGGACGAGGCTAAAGGGGAACACGCCAGGAGAGAGGGGGCGAGGAGGGGGGGGGGACGATTGGAGATAGAGAGACAGAGGAGGGAGGAAGGAGGAGGCTGGAGAGGGGAGGGCGAAGAGAGGAGGGAGGAGGGTTATGGGAGGAGGGTGAGGGGAGAGAGGAAGAGGGAGGAGGAGGGTGGATATGAGGGAGAGGGGAGGGAGGAGGGAGGTTGGATGGGGAGGAAGGGGCAGGAGGGTAAGAGTGTGAACGTTCGAGGAAGTCCTAGGCGAGGGCGTATTCCTCAAGGAAGAGTTGGGCGGGAGCGGGGGTCCCGAGTACATTGTCGGACGTCTCAGGCGGGAGCGCCGGTCGGGCGGGCGGACCCTGACGGGCGGGTCGGGCGGGCGGGACATTCAAACGGGATTTTTGCGTAAATTGCGAGGAAGTATTAAGCGAGAGCGCGATTCCTAAGTAAATTGCGAGGGCGTCCTTGGCGCGAGCGTGGTTCCTGAGCGTCGAGAACGCGATGCTGCAATAAATTGCGAGGAAGTCCTAAGCGAGAGCGCCAGTCGTTAGTAACTTATGAGGAAGTCTCGGGCGGGAGCAGGGGTCCTGATAAAGGAAGTCTCAAGCGGGAGCGCCGTTTCTGAGTAAAATGTGAGAAAGTCTGAAGCGGGAGCGCCCTTCCGGAGTAAATTTTGAGGAAGTCTCAGGCGGGAGCGGGGGTCCTGAGTAAATTGTGAGGAAGTCTCAGGCGGGAGCCGTTGTTGTTGTAGTCCGGGGCCCAACAACGCAATCTGATCCGCAAGGCTTTCCCTGTCAAAAAACAGGGTGCGAGCCCCGGAGGAAGCACTTCAATTGAAAAAAACAATGGGCACCGGACAGGGGGGATCAACAATAATTATTCTTCAGAAATGAGAGTTCAACAACAACAACAACAACAACAACAACAACAACAACAACAACAACAACAACAATTACTAGCACGTGGGGACACTCCGTTCTCACCAGTGCCAGGGTTTTCATAGGAGGCGGGCAATACCCCCACTTTGTGGGGGGGCCGGTTCAAGCTCTACCAAATTTCCAAACGACTCTTCGCCACCACCCACACCCAGCTTCCCGCCCTATGACGTTCGGACACCTCACTTCGTGGCCTGCGGACGACCTTGGCTACTACACTGGCGCATGGGTACAATGACTTGTTGTGGTAACATTTTCTGTAAGCTAGCTTAGTATACGACTTTTCCCCTGCAATTGAAGATTTCGGCGTGCGCGCGCGAAGAAAAAACGAATGTGTCCCATATGGTATTATTTGACAGGGATGATGGCCCTGGCAGGCGCGCAACCGTTGTTGCAGAAGTTCGAAGCACGTGAAAAAGTTGCTCGCAAGAGCCCGTTTGACAGAAATGTTGAAAAAGTATTGGGTTTCCTAAGAAATCCGCAAGAGCGCGCGGGATGAATTTTTGAAACTTTTTTTTGAAAAACCATTGGGTTTTTCATGTTTTTATGTTAAAATCGCTACGAAAACTAAGGTGTTGGAAGGATTTCATCTTGCGCGCGCGAGTGTGCACTTCGTGACATTTTTTGCAAAGGATTCTTGAAGTTTGGTTATGTTAGAACAAGACATGTCATTTTATATTGTTTTTTGACAGGGAAAGCGGGCGTCAACAAAACAACCGGATCCGGACTCCCCCGTTTTGCCTGAGACTTCCTCACGAAAATGATGAAAATGTGGCTGCGGCCTAGGCGCGGCGAGGGGGGCGTGCACCAGGGGGCCCAACAATAATTATTCTTTAGAAGTAATAATATTCAACAACAATTACTAGCACGTGGGGACACTCCGTTCTCACCAGTGCCAGGGTTTTCATAGGAGGCGGGCAATACCCCCACTTTGTGGGGGGGCCGGTTCAAGCTCTACCAAATTTCCAAACGACTCTTCGCCACCACCCACACCCAGCTTCCCGCCCTATGACGTTCGGACACTTCACTTCGTGGCATGCGGACGACCGTGGCTACTATTCAGGGCCCCGCGGCCGACGACGACGGCGTGCGCGCGCGAAGAAAAAACGAATGTGTCCCGCATGGTATTATTTGACAGGGATGATGGCCCTGGCAGGTGCGCAACCGTTGTTGCAGAAGTTCGAAAAAGTTGCTCGCAAAAGCCCGTTTGACAGAAATGTTTAAAAAGTGTTGGGTTTCCTACGAATCCGCAAGAGCGCGCGGGATGAAATTTTGACATTTTTTTTGAAAAACCATTGGTTTTTTGATGTTTTTATGTTAAAATCGCTACGAAAACTAAGGTTTTGGAAGGATTTCGTCTTGCGCGCGCGAATGTCCACTTTACCTTATTTTTTGCAAGGGATTCTTGAAGTTTGGATTATGTTAGAACAAGAAATGTCCACTTTAGCTTATTTTTTGCAAGGGAAAGCGATCGTAACAACACAACCGGATCCGGACCAACCCGTTTGGCCTGAGACTTCCTCACGAAAATGATGAAAACGTGGCTGCGGCCTAGGCGCGGCGGGGGGGTCGTGCACCAGGGGCCCCAACAATAATTATTCTTTAGAAGTAATAATGTTCAACAACAACAACAAGACCATCAACACCAGTGCCAACACCAACACCAACAACAACAACAACAATCACTTTAAGACTGTTAGCTCTTGGCCGCTCGCGTGCCATTCCGCGGTACCTAACGCCCTCGGTACCAAACCTCTTCGTCTTCGATCGTACCCTCCATCGTACTCCACTAGGGGAATATATTTTTCTTACCTGCAACGTGTATTTCGTGCAGCCCCTCAGTCAGGGGAAAACTGGACGGATGGAAGGACAGGATAAGGAGGAGGGAGGAATGGAGCACGAGCGACAGTAGCAAGAGGGGGGTTAGGAACAGATAACACGTGGCAGAACCAGACAGGCAGATCCGGCGGGTAGACCCTACCAGGCGCGTCGGGAAGGCGGGCCCAGTCGGCCAGGTCGAGCAGGTGGGTTGCTGAAGCGTGCGTCCTGCATGAATCGCGAGGAAGTCTCGAGCGACAGCTCGCTTCCCAACTCACTTCTGAATGTCGAGGGCGCGGTGTCCGAATAAATTGCGAAGCAGTCCCAAGCGAGAGCGCGATGTCTGCATACATTGTGAAGAAGTCCCGCGCGAAAGCACGGTTTGGGAATACAGTATGAAGACGTATCAATCGGGAACCGTTGTTGCTGTAAACTGTGAGCCAACAACACAACATATTTTCCCCCATAACAAGAACAAGGTACGAGCCCAGGGAACGGCACTTCAATCGAACAAAACACAATGTGCCCCAAAGGGGGGATCAACAATAGTTGTTCTTGACAAGCGAGAATCCAACAACAGCAACAACAACAATAACAATAACAACAATAACAACAACTCCCGCCGGATACTTTCTCACATTGCATCGCGGAATCGCGCTCCCACCCAAGAGCATCCAAGGAGGAGGAGGAGGAGGAGGAGGACGAGAAGGAGGAGGAGGAGGAGGAGGAGGAGAAGGAGGAGGGGGAGGAGGAGGAGGAGGGAGGAGGGGGAGGGGGAGGAGGGGGACCAAGGGCGACGACATCCACGCCGCTACCCCTGCTCGGGGGGGGGGGGGCGCGAGGGCCTCGCTCGGGCCGCTTCCTCCGCCCCCTCTCCCGCCCGTTCACTCTGACACGCGGTGGCATCCGAGAGCCGCGCCCTCGACCGAGAGGGCCAGTCTCTTGAGGCTCGCTCACGGGTCGCTCTGCCGGCGACCTGGCATCGCGCTCTCGCCCTGGGAGTCCCCCTGTATTTTATATCATATTTGTTGAACAAAAAACACTCCGCGTCGGCGCATTCTCACCAGAGGTTGCCCTGCCGTCCTCCCCTTGCCAGATCCCTCTCGTCCTCCACCGCTCATTCCCTTTCTGGCCCCCTTCCCTTTTCCGCTCCCTTCCCCCCCATTCCTTCCCCTTCGCTCTCTCCCGCTTCCATGTGTTCCACGACTTCCTGCTTTAGGGGCTGCGCAAATTACACGGGGAAGGGAAAAAGCATCCCCCCCCCCCCCCCGCAAAAGGGTACGAGCCAAATCGACGAGAGCGGGTATTGACGGTTTGGGAGTATACATGCTGGTTGGCACGCGAACTTCTGATAACAAACCGCCATCAACTTGTTGTTGTTGTTGATGATGTTGTTGTTGTTGTATTATCACTTATCATGATTGTTTCAAATCCTCTCGGAGCCCTGGTAACGGTGCACCACCGGTGAAACAGCGCGTGGATGGGGTGTCGGTGATGTTTTTTTGAACGAGTGGCGATGCCAGGGGCCTTTTGCGCAGGGCACCCGCGACTCCCATCCCAGGAATGTGATGCTCCAGGGCGGTTGTGGGCGGGCTACTCTAAAACGACCGAACGTCTGAGCCCAGATTGCCACGAACGTCGGACAATGAGGGGGATGCACTTTTGTGTTGGCACACCGGGGCGTATCCTCGCAGAGCCCTGGTGGTGGTGCGATAGCAGAAAAAAGGGGGGTGGACGAGGTGGCGGGAGATGCCCTTTTTACGGGTGGCGATGCCAGGAACCCTGTGCGCGGGACGAGCTGTCCCGCGGGCCGCGCGCTGCTCGCTCTCGGCGGGGCACCGGCCCGCGACGCCCGCGACTCCAGGGCGTTGAATTTCCTCCGGGCCGACGGAATTGCCGCGCGCCCCGTCCTCGAATTCGCCGGCTAATGCGATCCGCTCCCACTCGGGCCTTGCTGAACCCCAGCGCAACTATGGCGTCGGTGATGAGCGAAACGAGGGCCTCGTGCTGGTCCACGTAGCGACTCCGACCGTAATTCTTCCTCCCCGACCACAGTGCCTCTCACAGTTCCTCTGTCGGGTCCGATCGCCCACTGTGACCTCGCGCGCGGCGAAGCGCACAAACCGCCTCTCGCCGTTCGCGCCCTCTGGAGCTGCCGACCCCGCCGTCAAATAGTTGTCCTGGGCGCTGCCGCGCGGCCGCGAATTGGCCGCCGCGGTCCTCCTGTCTCGCCCCTCTCCGACCACGGAGCGTTCTCGTCGCCAGCGGCGGCGGTCGTTCGCGCTGCCGTCTTTGGCGTTGTTCTCGTCGCCAGCGGCGGCGGTCGTTCACGCTGCCGTCTGTGGCGTTCATGGCGCGGCCCAGCCGGCCGCCCGCTGGCCCGGCGCGCGGCCGTGGGGGGGCGACGCGACAGAGCGCGGGCTGGGCCCCCGCCCCGAAGGGTCGCGCGGAGCCCCGCCGCTGCTCGCGCTCGCGCGCCCACCTCCGTGAGGGGGGGCCCTCGGCTGGCTTTTGTCGGCGCCGCCGACGCCGCGGGGCACCCCCGCGTTCGCGGCGATCAGCCAGACCTTGGCCGCGCAGAGAGCCGGCGTTCAGGCCCAGGCCCGCCGCGCGCCGCGCGCGCACCGCGGCGCGCAGCGCCTGGTTGGGCACCGTCGGCCCGCGCGGCTCGGCAGCCCAGTCGCGCGCGCAATCGACGGGGCTCGCGGTCGCCTCGGGCCCCGGGGCACCGCGAGCGCGCAAGGAGAATCCGCGCGTCGCCAACGGCGCGCGCGCGCCGACTTCCGCGTCGACGCGCGCGCGCGCCCCATGAAGCCATCGCTTGCGCGCTCTGGGCCCAAGCAGGGCCGCGCCGCCCCCGCGCCGCGGGGGCCCCCCTCGCCCCGCGCCTCGATCTGGCGAAGCATCGATCGCGCCCGCTCTCGCGCCTCAGTCCGCAGCGGCTGCTCTCCTCCACCGCGGCGCGGCGCGCGAAGCTGGCCCCGGCTGTCGCGCGGGCACCTGCGGCGGCAGCGCGCCCTCTCGATCGGTCGACCGCCTCCCCGGCGCCTGCCGCGGAGTCCTCCGGCGCGCCCCGCTCGCAGCAGCAACCATGGACAGTCTGGAAATCCCGGGACATGGTAGATTGCGCGAGAGATTTAAATAATTATGTGCTGTGAAACAAATGAAGAACACGCCCCCGCTGTATAATCGCGCAGAAACAGCTCGCTGGATGAGCGAAGTGGCACGCGGCAAGCTCGAAGCGCAACTGCGCGCGCCCGCCCGGGTGTGATCCACCCTGGACTACTCGAAGGCATCGCCTGCGAGTCGACGACGCAATCCCGCCGAAAATTTGCATATCTCCGACGCCGCATCTGCGGCGGCAGCGGCGGCGGCGACGCGGCGGAAGACAGACAGAGGGGGCAGCGGCAGCAGCGCTGCCACTGACAGGAACGACGGTGCCAGGAAAACGACGACGGAGCCGATGAAACCCGCGCGCGAGGAGAAGGAGATGGGGCAGGCGCGCGACATCGCCTGGAGACTGGCATTGGGCGAGGAGGGGGCGCAGAGGACGGACAGGGGGGCGACTTCAACTTGAACGGGCGGCGGCTAGAAGCGCCTCGATGGGGCCGCTGAAAACGGGCCCTTGGGACGAGGGGGACAAGGCGATGGAGTAAAGAAAAGAAGCCAGTGGAGGCGGGCCCGGACCGCGCGAAGCTACAAGCCGACCCGCCACTGCAAAGGGCCGCGGGCCACCCGACACTTCTGCGATCCAAACTCTCATATGGCCACTGTACCATCGTCGCGCGAATGCCGATGGCAACGCGTCCTGCGTGCCCCCGCGCGCCGATGGCGTCAAGGGCGCGCCGCCGCGGCCCGCGCGGCTGCCGCCGCTGCGACTTGCGAGTGAGCCAGCAATAACAACCCCCAGACTGCTGGCGACGACGGGGGCCTCCCTGTTCCTCGCCCTTCTCCCCCCCCCGCGCCCCCCTCCCCCCTCCGATCGCGCCCCCCCCCCCCCCTCGCGCGCTCTTCGTCCTGCCCGCCGCCTTCAAATTAACCCTGTTGTCCCCCATGGCCGTCTGCGCCGCGACCCCCCGCGGCGACCCCAATCCACGGCGGCGCTCGCGTCCAGCCCAGCACGCGCCGATTGCGACAGCGCCTCGGGCGGCAAATTCGAGGGCACACGAAATTGCTGCTGGATGGCCACCGCGACCCAGGGCGGCGCAAGATGCCTCCCAGGCTCGGCACCGGACGCCGGCACGATCGCCGCGGGGCCTCGATCGGCACGGTCCCTGGCGGCCGCAATTTATTTCAGCGCGTTCGAGGCGCGTGCCCCAGCCGAAATAAGGAAAAAAACACGAAAACCACATCGGCGCCGCATTCGCAATCCCCGGGGGGATTTGGCGCGCGCGCGCGCCCATTTGAAACAAATAAAGATTAGTCGGCCGAAAAGGGCAAGGCGCCCGCCGATTCCGCGCGCGCGCATGTTTCGCATATGTTCCGTTTATGCGTTGCGAATGTTTTGCGCAAAAAACGAACATGTGAGAGAAATGCGCGGCCGGGGAGGCGCCGATTTTGCCATCAAAAGAAGCATGATGAATGCGCGGAAAAAAGGGCCGCCCCGATCGGTGAAATTCCAAGACAGATGAATGCGAAATGACATGTTCCCCGGGGCAGCCGGCAGGGGCGAGGTGAAATGGCGCGACGCCCCCGGGAGGTCCGCGACGGAACGCGGCTGCCCCGTGGGGCCTTGCCCCCCCCCTGCCCCATGCGCTCTTGGGATGAGAGCCTGGCCGCCTCCCGGCGCCAGGCGGGCGCGGGCGCGACGCCGGGAGAAGGGCGCAGCCGCGCGGCTTAGCAGATTACGCACGCGCCGCGCCACCCCCCGCAACAATGCGCCCAAGAAAATTTAGCCGACGTGGGGCGGTGCCCCAGCGGCATCAGCCGCGCGCGGCACTTGCACGCCCCTCGCGCGTTCGATGGCGCGCATGAGGAAACCCGCCAAAAGGTCCAAGCGTCAGCGGCCGCGCGCGTACTTAAACACCGCTCGCGCGCGTCGCGGCCCCACGGGGACCTCCGCCGAGCCCCGGAGGGGGCGGCCGCGCGTGGCGCCTGCAGAACCCCCGCGCAGTTCGCGGCTCGACGGGGGACCCCGCCGAAGGCCCTAGCGGCAGCGGCTGGGCGCAGCATGTTTGCGCAACTGTCGCGCGCGTCGCGGCCCCACAGGAAGCCCCGCTGAAAGCCCCGACCCCGCTGGCACCGCTCGCGCGGCGGCCCCGGCTCACTTCGGCGCGCCCCTGTCGCGCGCCCCCTGGACCCTGAAGAAATTCCACTAAGAACTGCAAATGGGCGGGCCCTTCGCCAAAAATTTATTGGACGCGCGCGGGCGACGCCAGGTCCCGCGCCGCGCCGATTCATGGCGCGCCGCCGCGGCGAGAGACCCCAAAAACGCATGATCGCCCTGGGCTGCCATGACAATCAGCTGTCCCGGCAAGGCACTCGCTGCGCGCCGCAGACACCGCTTGCGCATGAGCGCGCTTACACCTCCGCCTAATAAATGTTGTTCACCTACTTCCGTAACCTATTTTACGGCTACCAGAATCTCTCCATATTACCATCGTTTGAAGTGGTTGTAGTCATGGGGCGTTCCTGACATTCGCCGAGCGGGCCGCCCCCTGCGGGGGGCGCCCATCCACGGCGCACCCGCGAACTCGTTCTGCCCCGCGCGTCGTCCTCCGAGTGGCCTCGGGCGAGGCCCCCCGTCGCACGTTGAGCGGCGAATCGCCCGGCTGACCCACCGATGCCCAGCCCCGCTCGCTCGCCTCGCTGCGGCGGCGAGTCCGCGCAGCGCCCGTCGTCGAGGCCGAGGGGCCCGCCCCTCCATGGGGGCCGTCGTCTGCAGGCGGGGCGTCGCCCCCGACGGTCGCCTGCCCCTCGTCGGGGCCCTCGGCTGTTCGAGGGGGGAGGTGGTGGCGGCTGCTTGCCGGGTGCCGTTTGGACGCCCGAAATGGGCACGGAAAGAATGGGTACAATGCCCAGCAGCAGATGTTGTCCCAAACCAACAGCGGCCGCTGTTGGGCAGGCGGCCTTCTGTCTCGAATGGACACAGGCCGCGGCGGCGTGGACAGCGAGTCCTGCTCAAAATGAACAGGAACGGCTGTTGGGCATTGTACCCATTCTTTCCGTGCCCATTTCGGGCGTCCAGACGCCAGCCCCTCGCGACGCGCTGGGCCTGGCGCCCGGCCTCCTGTGCCTGGGCCGTCGGGGAGGCAGCGGCCGCCTCCCGGCCGCGCGCGCCCCTCCACGGCGGCCACTGGCATCGCTCGGGGGGGGGGGGGGCACGGGCCCCGCAGCATGCGTTGTCTGCTGCGCCAGCTGGCTGAACGAAACATAACACGTTGGCAAACATGCACCCACATAGTCAAACGTAGTAGCAAAATCGTCTCCAGACTATGGTTGGACTATTTCTGTATATTCCTCGTATAGAGGGACATGCCCGACTTAAGCCCGACCCTGGCTAGAGGGAAGGGGCAACGATCGGGGGGAATGAGCATATGCGGAAAAAGTATCAACCTAAAATCAGCAATACATCGCCGATGGATCGACAGTGGACCCCCGACAGTGAATCCGTATGTTCCTGGGCAGGTTGGGGCGATCAATGGGCGATTGGGGGTCGATGCATCCCCCCCAATGTGAAGGGGCCCTGGGACACACAAAAAAATAGACAAAAATAAAAGGATTCCCCATATGTTCCCAGATGTTCTGGGTTTGTTGTTCCCCCCACTTCCCATCTTTTCCCATATTTTCTGGGGAGTCGACGATTCATTGTGTCTGTGCTTTTTTGTCCCTCCTGACCATGCCTATCCCCCTTATCTCGGGTCGGGCGAAAAGGGGGGATAGCAAAGGGGGGTTGAGAATCAGCTCACGTAGCTGATTTTCCCGGCGCCTCCCGGCGCCTGGAGGCGGCCATGTATCGAGGAATGGGCCCCTCGGTGGGGCCGAAACCAGCTGCATGCAGCAAATGTCGTACCCCCCCCTTTCACAATCCCCCCCTTTCGTCCGGCCCGATTATCGCTGCCCCCCACTTCCCCCCCACTTCCCATGTTTTCCCATCTTTTTCTGGGGAGTCGACGATGAATTGTGTCTGTGTGTTTTTTCCCTCCTGACCATGCCTATCCCCCCCTTGTCGTTGCCCCTGAGGGCTCGCCATCGCTTGGACGTCCATTCCCTGTGCATTTTCCGGTTTCGTGCGTGCATGTTTTCGCAACGTGAACAAAAATGCTCCTCGATGCTCGGGTTATGAAACCAGCTGCATGCAGCAGATTTCGTAACCCCCCCTTCCCAATCCCCCCCCCCCAATCCTCCTCCTCCTCCTCCTCCTCCTCCTCCTCCTCCTCCTCCTCCTCCTCCTCCTCCATCTCCTCCTCCTCCTCCTCCTCCTCCTCCTCCTCCTCCTCCATCTCCTCCTCAACCTCCATCTCCTCCATTTCCTCCTCCTCCTCCTCCTCCACCTCCTCCCAATCCCCCCCTCTCGTCCGGCCCGATTACCGCTGCCCCCGAAGGGGTGCGGTCGGGCGGCCGGGCCTGCGAGCTCGCCTTCCCCCTCGGCGAGGGCTGCTGCCGCCCCCGCGGCGAGTGCTGCCGCGGGGGCGACAGGGGCGACCGCCGGGCTCCACCTGCGGCAGGAGCCAAGGAGCCACCGGGGCCATAACCATGTTTTATCGCGCTTCGCGCCTGGCGAAGCGCAAAAGCAGGGGAGCACGAGGATGGGACGGGGACGAGGCGAGGAGGAGAGGAGGAGGACGAGGAGGAGAGGAGGAGTAGGAGGACGAGGCGAGGAGAGGACGAGGAGGAGAGGACGAGGAGGAGAGGACGAGGAGGGCGAGGCGAGGAGGAGAGGAGGACGAGGAGGGCGAGGCGAGGAGGATGGGGCGGAAACGGAGCCGAGGACGATGAGGACGAACAAAACTCGCGAAGCACGAACCACCGCGAATCGCCTCGCGCCCTCCTGGCGGCCCCTGCAAAGCGCCCTTGGCACAACATCTGGCCCCGAGGGCAGCGGGTCCAGGTGTGGTTCGCTGCGTGTCGGTCTCTCGGGGCCCTCCCTGGGCCCCAGGGACGCCAGAAAATAAAAACGACTCGAGATGAGAACATGGATCCAGGGGGAGGGGGAGGGGGAGGGGGAGGAGGAGGGGGAGGGGGAGGAGGAGGAGGAGGGGGAGGAGGAGGAGGGGGAGGGGGGAGGAGGAGAGGAGGAGGAGGAGGAGGAGGAGGAGGAGGAGGAGGAGGAGGAGGAGGAGGAGGTGGAGGAGGAGGAGAAGGAGGAGGGGGGAGGGGAGGAGGAGGAGGAGGAGGAGGAGGAGGAGGAGGAGGAGGAGGAGGAGGAGGGGGAGGAGGGGGAGGAGGAGGAGGGGGAGGAGGAAGAGGAGGCGGAGGTCCTGAGGGCTTCGGGATCCAGGGCCCGTGGCCCGCGTTCCCCTCTGCAGTGCGCCTGTGGAACGCGGTGCGAAGCACTGCCCTTCTCTGCCTTGATTTGGCCACTGTCGGACCCCCTTCGCATCATTCCCAAATCAGAGCTGGCACTTGGGGAGTTACTACAACCCTCGTCAAAATTAACCTCAAAATGTCTGACGTGGTTAAACTGCTTGTCGGAAGATCTGGGACCGAGTATCGACGAGTGCGGGGTACTTGCATGCGCCGCCCCTCCAATGTCGGTCGACGTCAAACTTTCGAGTCAACTTCGGTCAGACTATCTTTGCCCTCGCCCCGACATTGAAGGGGCGGCGTGTCGACATTGAGGGGCGCGCCGAAATCGAAATGACGTGCCAGCAACTGTTGAGGTTAATTTGGACGAGGGTAGTACTTCTTCCCATTCACATAATTTGGTGGTGTTCCGGTTGTTCGTCACCTTGCGCGGCCCGTGCCGCCTCGCAAGCGCCTAAGGGGCGCCCCACGCTGGGGGTGTGTGCCGAGGTCGCGCCACGTTGCCGCCCGTGCTGCCTCGTGAGTGCCTTATTCGCTGGGGGGGATATGCCAAAGTTGCGACACGCTGCCACCCGTGTCGCCTCGTGGGAGCCCCGTCTGACCTTACAGCACATAGCTTTCACCACACAGCTTACACCACATAGTGTACACCGCATCTGTTGCACAACGCAGCTCACATTGCACAGCTTGCATCCCATAGCTTTCGCCTCCAGTTCAGGCCGCCTAGCTCACACCGCCTAGCTCCTAGCTTACACGACACAGCTGACACCATCTAGCTTGCACCACATTGCTTTCACCACCACGGCTCACACCACATAGTACATAGTTTACATTAACACCTCATATCATTCACCTCCACGATACAATAACGCACCGTCTGGCGTCCATGCTGGCTGACAGATGCAAATTCACGACTCCGTGCACACATCTTTGCCTTGCCATGCGTGTGCTCATGTTGCGTTGACTCTCCAGCCTTGCACTGCCATGCAGTCTTTCTCGGCGGCGAGCCTGGGAGGGAAAGTGCGAAGGGACGGGCCCTTTCAGAAGGCTCGGAAGTCCCCCGACATTCTGAGAAGTTTCTGCAGATTCCTGGAAGACGCAACAAAAACCTCTCAGAAGGCGCGGGGGTATCTGAGAAGCCCCGCCGTTTTCTGAGAAGGCCTCTTCCTGGTCGCATCCCCCCTCTCGCTCGCCACCGGATGTCGCTGTGAGCTGCATTGGATCCGCTCACTTCGTATCTAGATTCTTGCCCGGCAAGGCTGCTGAGCCGCACTGCGTAGAGAAGAGCTGGCCCGTGGACCTCGGGGGGGCAACCCTGAGAACAGTCGGGAGGGGCATCCAGAACCAGGCCTCGGCGGCGAGCGAGGGGGGAAGTGAGAAGGGGCAGGCCTTCGCAGGAAGCGGCGGGGGGGCTTCTCAGAAGCCCCCCCCCGCCTTCTGAGAAGTCTTCTGCGTCTTCGGGGGAGGCTTCGAAAACTTACAGTGGAGGACAGTCCGCAAGAAATCTTCCACAAGAACCCCAACCCTGAGACCGCAGGACATCCATTGATTTTTGGCGTGGGAGCGTCGCGCTCTCCATCGCAAAGCCATCGAGACCCAAGAAACCGAGGGCACCCTGGAGGCAAGCAAGGTGTTTCTTGGCATGGGTCTCCGCACGAAGCCATGACAAGGACGAACTCGGGGGAAAGAATAATCGAGAACCTCTAAGATACGGCGGCTCCGGAAGATGTCTCTAAGATAGGGCGGGCGGCTCAGGGGGCAGAACGCTCCACGAGCGTGTGGCGTGGCCAGCCCCGCCGCTCAGCGCGCGGCGGCTGCTGCGTCAACGCCCGGGGGCGGCGGGGCCCAGTGCGAAGCGACACCTGACAGTGATGGCGTCAGTGTCAAACCCGAAGCAGCCCACCCCCAACGCGGTTGGCGCACACACACAGACATACACACATTCAAACACACACACACACACACACACACACACACACACGCGCGCGCACACACACACGCACACACACACACACACACACACGCACACACACACACACACACGCACGCACGCACGCACGCACGCACGCACACACGCACGCAAGCAAGCAAGCACGCACGCACGCACAGGCACAGGCACAGGCACAGGCACAGGCACAGGCACAGGCACAGGCACAGGCACAGGCACAGGCACAGGCACACGCACACACGCACACGCACACGCACATGCACACACACACACACAGCTCTCTGGGCCCGCGCGTCGTGCGTGCCCAGGGGTGCTGGCTGCGCCCGCCAGGGCCTCTCGCAGGGCGGACCAGAAGCGCCAGGGCAACGGAAGAGCAACCGGGGGTCCCGTCACTGTGTTGTGAAGGGCCGCGCGGGGACCTCCAACAACCCAAAAAGGGACCTCACCGCGCGGTCCGCCACCGCACGACTTTGGGACCGCGGAGCAGGCCCCGGTCGCCCGAGACCTCCTAGGACAACGCCGCGGGTCCCGAAGCCGCGCGGAAACCCCAAATCTCCACTGGCTCACCACACGGAGTGGTCACCACATCGCTTAGTAACAGGGGATATGTCGACCCCTATCCCAAGCTTCGTGGGGTTTTCGGGTGGGCCTGAAGTTCGGGGCCCAACCCTGGGATATACGACGGGGGGGCGTCCATCCTCCATATGGGTGCGCCCGGAATTTTCCCCTTGGCGGGGCGTAGCCCAGGGCCCCCCCCGGTGCCGCGCTTGCGTCCCCATCCGCTGGGATGCCTGCGACGGTCCCCGAATGAGGGTCACTTTGTCCCTGGCATGTGCATTCGCTACAGCGGCCTAAGTGCCTCTGCAGCCAATTATCTCGCTCTGTGGCCCAGTCGTTCATCCCGCTCCCTGGATCTGTCCTTCGAGCCGTCCAACCAAAAAGTATCCCAGGGCCCCCCCCCCCCCTTTTCTGAGCGGCCCCACTTTCTGTCCATCGACACCTCGGGGAAATTGGGGGGAGGAGGAGCCCCCTGCGACTCTTCGGGGCCCCCCCGCAGCAGGGAGGGGAGCCGACGGAGCCCGACGACCGCGCTTTGCTTGTTTTTTTTCGTCCGCGGGCGGGCGGGCTCCCCGCGGGCCCGCGGCACGCCCAGCAGCAGGCGGTTCTCCGCGGTCACGGCCGCGGGCAGCGCCTCCCAGCGGCAGAGCGCGGCAGAGCGACCCCCCGCAGAGGCAGGGGCGGCCTCCTTTGGCGCTGGCCGCGGAGGGGCCACATCCGGGCGCGCAGGCCGGTGTCGGCGGCGCGCAGATGGAGGAGGAGGAGGAGGAGGAGGAGGAGGAGGAGGAGGAGGAGGAGGAGGAGGAGGAGGAGGAAAAAGAAGAGGAAGAGGAGGAGGAGGAGGAGGAGGAGGAGGACGAGGAATATTCGAAACACACATAATCCGATCAATATTAAAACTACACACGATTATACTAGAATGATACGAATACTAACAGTGATACGAATAACCTAAGAGTAGTCTGAAAAACACTACGAATGAGAAGCATAATAATTCAAATTATTATCCACATGATAAGCAAAATCATAGTTCTAGCAAGACGAACAAGAATACTTGTATGAGAGAACAAAAAAGACATTCTGCGAGACCGCGGATCCTGTCTCGGGCGAGCGTAACGGCAGGCGGCCGCGCCCACACGCGCTCACGAGCGCGGCGCCCCGTCAGCGTGGCTACGTCGAGCTCCACGACCAGGTAGCGATCGGAGCCGACGACGTCGTGCAGCACCTTGAGTTTTCGATCTCGTTGCGCTGCTCGACTCTCCCTTTAGTGGCCGGCCCCCTCGCCGCGCACGGGAGCGGTCCAGGTCCAGCCGTCTGTGTCCAGCGAGCTCTCGTCCTCGCTGAACTGGTGGAACGGGCCGCCTTCATTGCCCATTGTCCTTCGAGCCCGCTTGGCCAATGGAGCTACTGTCGCTCTTCGCGAACTTGCAGCCATTGCGCCCACGGACTGCACTGCAAGTCTAACCATCGCCGGGCAAGGGGAACTAGCCGCGGTCATGCCGCGGCTCTCGTACGTCGCCTGGCAGCGGATGCTGCACCGTGCTCGCCGCGCCCACTATCATTCCGCATCGGCGAGGCCCCCCGACCGCACCTCCCGCTGCGCTCGCAGCGCCCGCGATCTCCTTCGGCTAGGCGAACCAACTTCCCACGCCAAGCGCAGCTGCCGCTAGCACCTGGGGTCCCGTGGGCCGCCTCGTCGGGGCCCGGACCCCTGTCTACTGCTGCGTCATGCATTCTGGGCCAGTCAGGAGCCTCCACCGTGCTGTTGGGGCCTGTCACGCCCCCTCCTCCTGAAGATCCTCCCGCGCGGCCCCCCTCCGTCATCTCAGGCCTACCTCCTCGCCTGGCAGGGGCCCAGCTCGCTGCCTCGTCAGGCCTAATCACTCGCCTTGCAGGGGGTATATCTTCACCTCGTCGAAGTCCAACACCCCGCTGATTTGGAATGCGAGTCTTGCCGAGCATGGCGTTGCTGTCGTCAGCCCGTTGCTTTGTTTTCGTTCGCGCGGGTCCTGCCATGCAGCGCTGCTGCGCGCCCCTCGAAGTCATGTGGTCCATCTGGTACAAGACAAGTCATTCAACCGCTGTCGCTACTCGATCGGGCAACGCGGCCACTAACTGTTCATGGGCTGGAATGCTGGCGGCGACATGATTGGCGAGCTTCTCATGAGGCCCGATGCCTTCCCGCAACTTCACGAGCACTTCGCGCCCCCTGTTCAACGGCCAAGTACGCTCCTCACATAATAAGAACTTGCGACGCCGCTGGGCCTGCGCATCACGTCCGTGCGCGCGCAGACTGTAGCCTTGAACGTCATGTCGCTCCGATGGCTCTTCTGGCTGACCGCTGCTAACTTGCGCACCATCGGGTTGACGAGATTTTCTGGTAGGAGCGCTGTCCCGCTGCAACCATTGACCTCATCGTTGCCAGGCCGGCGCCGTCGCAGACATCTGCGACGCCGTCGCCCGAGCTCTGCGTCGCGCCAGTCATGCCAGTCCTCCACTCTGATTGCCCGGACCTTCTCGCATCGCGCGGCGCCCCTAAGCCGTCGCTACGCCTCTAAGTGTCGCGACCCACCCTGGTCTCTGCAGCTCCAGGAGGAGAGGTTTGCAACCGGAGCCGTCGATCGCACGTTCGATCCTTCTCACTCCGTTGGCCACCGCCGGCTGCGCCATCTCCTCACAAACCTCGGCCGCACCCTCGCCGCCGCCGTCGACGATGCACGCCTGGATTCCGAGGCCAATATTCGAAATCCCCTCGACAGCGAAAATGCCCCCCCCTGGCGCGAGCGGGGGCGAATGCTTCTCGCGCTGCCGGGCCCCCGAGCAGGACCACCGTGGCCGATGCCGAGACACCCCGCTGAAAGGGCTCGTCCTGGCGCTAGCACATCTTCCAGAACTTCTCCATATCTGCGTCGCTTATGCCGTTCACCTCCGCGCCGGACGCGAGCGCTGGCTTGGCCCCCGCCCCTTGGGCACGCGCAGTGCGTTCGCGGGCCTTCGTCCGGATCGCCCTCCGAAGCCTCTCCAGCTTCCTCAGCCTATTTTGGCGACGCACTGCTCGAGCCTCGGTCTTCGCCCGAGCCGACGGCGCCGCCCGTCTTCACCCTGTCGCGTAGACGGCCCGCAGAAAACGCGCAGCATGCTTGGCGGCGCCGTGCTTCGCCTTCAGCTGCGTCGCGATCTGCTGGTCGCCGTCGACCGATCTGCTGACGATGGCAAACGTGCAATTGACGCTCGCTCCTAGCTGGGCCGCGCTTCCTGACAGCCACGGCCAGCATGCGCTGCTTTGTTGACGACATCCCCCCCGACAGGCCCATCGGCCCCAATGCCTGCGTCGTCTGTGCGCGACGAAGAAAAATACAAACTGAACGCGCCTTGATGACAATGCCCGCGCAGCCGTCGCCAACTGGATCGTGCTCAGCGCGCTGAGGCCTGGGCCCGCTATGAGACCGAACTCGACTGATACCAGGACCCCGCCATCGAGGGTATACCATCTTGACCCGTCCAGCATCGGCTCAGAGCCTGCACGGCTTGTCCCGCGCTTGCCTCATGGGAATGATGTCGCAATGCCTCATGTAGTCCGCGGTGAGAGTAGCCATGTGCTTATACTGGCCGACGCATGCTTCGCCTCTGCCCGACAACTTCCTCGCGCCATCCAATGCTCAACGGCCCGCGCCCCCTCCCCGGCATTTCCGCGCGACCTTCTCTTGCAGCGCGCGCCAGGGCCCCCCGCGTGCCCAATGCCATGCATGGTAGCATGGCGATTCCATTAATTTCGCCTGCGTCCCCACATGACATTCGGCAACGTTGGCGTCGTCATCCGCGCGAGGCGCCTTGGTGGGGCGCCCAGCTTTTCACTCGCCTCCCAGAAGCACCCGCAAAACAGCGAGCTCTTCACCGGAGAGGTTATGGTTGCGGCAAGGGTGAATGCCGTCAGGGCTGCTGGAAGTCCGCGTTGAGAATGTCGACGGGGCCGTCATATTTCCCTCGCGCTGGCGAGGTAGTGCTCGCCTATCTGGAACACGCTCAGATGGCGCCACCGAGGTCTACTTCCAGCACCTTGCGAGCATCTGCAGCATCTTCCACTATACAATGAGGGTGAGATTGGAGCTGCCCACTACTACCATCGACCATTGGGGGGGCCTGCGCGCCCCGATAGCCCGCGATATTACGAAGCCGACCTGCGCCGTTCTCGCTCGCGCCGTCGCGCCGCTTCTTCCAGCGTTGAGCGCTGCCCCGATGCGCTGCCTGTTACGCCGCTCCAATATCCTCCGCTGCCCCGCAAAAGGAAAAGCTGCATGCCCTCCGCAGCCGTGCTTGCCTGCAGCGCCGCGCGCCTGGACTGACCCACGATCGCGTCCAGCCTGGGACTTGCGCTTTGCCATGCATATGCAGCCGCCGCGATCGCGCTTGCTCGCGCCTCCATTGGCCTGGTGAGAATCGAAGTTCGCGACCTCCATGAGCGATTCCTCGCGCCATTCCCCGCCGCCTGCGACAGCCTGCGCCCCGTCTGAATATTTGCTCTCGCAAACGCACGAAACAGTTGCGGGCGGCGGGGACGCTGAGCGCGCGGTGATCGACGAACTTCAAGACCCATGAGGCGAACGCTTCGCTCCGCAAGATGCGCCGCGAATCGGGCCCAGGCCGTAGATGACTGGCGACTCGATGCCGCCCCCGCGCCGTGCCCCGCCATCTTCGCAGCCGCCTCAGCGCGCCTGCGCCCCCTGCTCCACTCGCACGCGTCATCTATCATGGGGCCCGCGCTTCTGCGGACCTTCAGCCTGCCCCCCGCAGCGTGAGTGAGATCGAGCAACTTCGCGCGTCTCGTCGGGGGTTCAACAATGACTGGCCCGCGCAGCGTGACGGACAGCGCGACGTCCGCCTTCGCCCCCGTCGCGAGTCTCATGTCTCCCAAGGACATCGCGGAACGAATCGGTCGTCGCGATCGCCGTCGCAGTTGGATTCTTCACAGCGGCGGGCCCCGCGAGGGATGCCAGCGCAATCGCCAAGAAACTGGGCGCCTCGACCTCGGCCGCCGTCGCGTTCCAGTCGCCGCCGATGATCGAGGGGCGTCGCGGTCGTGCCATGGCCAGCCCTACATTCATCGGGGTCTTGGCGATCCTGGGCGCCAGGCCCTCGCCCGCGCGCAATTAGATTTTGATTGTTTTCGACGACGGCCAGCTAGCGGCTTCCACTGCCGCGCGCTGTGCGCTGCGCAATGCAAATTCACTGCAAAAAGATCTGGCGCCGTTGGTCGCGGGAGCTCTTGGCAAGTGGCTGCCCGCCGCGTGCGATGGGCCATGCAATATCCCACTCCTTCGCGCGCGAAGATGGCGAGGCCCGCCGAAGGAAGCTGCCCTGCTGTAGCCGCACCTGGGACTATCATCATGTTCCACATGTCGTTGCTGGCCCGCGCGCCCAGCGCGTCGCATTCCCAATCGCGGTAGCAAACTTCCCGCGCCAAAGTGATAGGCGACTTGGATTGTAGAAGACGCGCTGTCAGAGTCTGCTTCCGGTGGTTGGCATTGTACTTGTCGTCCGAATGTAACGCCTGCAGTCCACTCACTGTAGAAAGCCGTCGCTGCGCCTCGTCGAGTAGAGCCCCCCTGCGCGCGGACTCGTACTCTCGCCGACCTGGCGATGCTTAGTGATCGGGATGCGGGTGACCATCTCGGCCAACCTCTCCGCAGTAACTTCGATGGCCTTTCCATCGGCGCATAGCTGCTAATGGAAGTGTTCTGGGTTGCTGTTTTTCCCCACATGGATTTTTCGGCCGCTTGCCATCTCCTGCATCAGCCGTGCCCTGGGGTCCATGTCCACAAGCATCGCCTCTGCCACGCCCGCCATCAGGAGTCGAAGGAGCAGGAGAAACACTAGCCTTGCGCCCGAGCTTGGCCGCCATGTTGCGCCCATACACCTGCTGCGCCTTGCCGAAGGTGGGGTTCACCATGAATGCCTGGTAGAACTCGTGCACATCAGGCTCATTCCTGATGCCGCGGCTCTCCTGGTCCAGTAGTAAGACGTCCTCTAGAATTTCCTGAACGTCTTCGAGGGCCTTGCCGCCACTGGTGTTTGCTGCATGCTCCGCCACCTGCTTCGGGAGGGCGTCCTCTTCCTTCTTCTTGGCCTTTGATGAAACTACGATTGTCGGAAATTCCCGGTGAATCTTTTCCACGCGCTGCTCAAGGGATTCAAATTCATGTCTGGCGCGAATGATATGGCCCTTGGCGCGCTCCAGCTTCTGAATGCTCTGTTTGTGCGCCGTGGCCGGAGCGCGAAGGACCCTTGATCTGTTGCCTCCTGGACTCCAGTTTCGGCTTGACCGTCTCAACCACATCGTGCTCACCGAGGTCGGTGAACAGCCTGATCGATGTCCCGCACCCTTTGATATGTTCCTGCAGTTCGGCACATAGCGCGAAATTGGAAGTCTCGGCGGCGTCCTGGCTCCCGCCTTCGACCTCCATGTTGGCGTACTGGCTGTCCTTCTTATCCCGTGCATACTTGAGCCGATTGTGTTCTACCCGCAGCTGGTTGAGCTCACTGTGCGGTATCTTGAGCTCCTTGGCCTCCTCGCTCCACAGCGCCGCTTTAGGCCGCAGACCTGCGCCTCCAGCTGGGCGGAGCGGGATGGCGAACCTGCTCCCCTTCAGCTTCGCGTGCCTCTCGATCAGCCTTCTTTGCGTTGGCGACGATGTACGCTGGCGCCGCCTTCCTACAATGGCAGACCACTCTGCTCGCCCAGTTGCTTGCGGCTCCGCAATTGCAGCCCCACGTTGGACGCGCTGCCCCTCGCCAGCACGCGTGGCTGGACGGCCCCTCGGAGGTTTCGGCACTGCGTTGCCCGCCGAGGAGCCGCGGTGGCCGTTGAACCTCTCGGCCGCGCTCTGCAGGAGGGCCCGGAGCAGGAGGGCACCAACCACACACCAACACCGACACTGGATGGGATCACCCGGTGCCCAGGATCGGTGCCTACGCCCCCTCTGCCCTGGGCAGACCGCATGTACACCGATCCTGGGCCTAGGATCGGCCTGGCCAGGATCGGTGTAGGTGTATTCGGTGCCCTCCGATGGAATCTGGGCGTAGAATTGCCCGCCCAGACGTGCAGCAGCGCGCGGTCCGCAGCTCGGCGGAGTCGCGCTGGGCGATGAGCGGCTGCATCGCGTGGCACCGCCGTGGCCGAGCGCTGATGTCGGCGCGCGCGGTGGGGCCTCTCGCATGCGCTGGCAGGCGCCCAGGGGGGGGGGGCGCACCTCGCCAACCGAAGCTGGAGGGAACGGAGGAGGAGGAGGAGGAGGAGGAGGAGGAGGAGGAGGAGGAGGAGGAGGAGGGGAAAGCTCCTGAGGAGGAGGCTGCCTCTCAGAAGGCGCCGGCCTCCCGTCTGCACATCAGGCCCGCGCCCTCCAAGGAGCAGGGCGCCTCTGAGAGACCGTCCCCCCTCCCCGCACCTCCCCGCGGCACGTGGCCGAAGCCGGGCGCGCAGGCCAGTGCTGAGTGGGCCCCTGCGGGCCCGCACCAGGGGTCAGGTCGGGCACGTCCTCCTCCTACAGGCAGACCTCTGGACGGGGGAAAAAAATATAGGCAAAACGCACTCGACAATAGCTAGCCACAAATAGCTTCAGACATCGTCCCCAGACTGCTTCCTTCGGACCATTCTGGAAGATTCCCTCCTGCAGAGGGCCGGGCCCGACTTATAGACCACTGAGTCTCTGCGTCCGAGGGGTCGCTCCCACGCAGCGCCGAGCCTCCCAGTCGACCTCGTAGCCGGCCTCCTGGAGCCGGTAGCTCCTCCCGACGTCGCGGGCCAGCGCGCCGCCCAGCGCCTGGCGCACGCCCCGCGGCACGGCCTCTGGCCGGCGGCAGCTCACGGGAGCCTCCCATGCAGTGGAGGCACGACCACAAGAAACCTTCCACAAACCCTGAGACCCCAGGACGTCCACTGATTTTTGCTGTGGGAACATCGCGCTGTCCATGGCAAAACCATCGAAACCCAAGAAACCCAGGGCACCCTGGAGGCAAGCAGGGTGTTTCTTGGCACGCGCCCCCACTGTACTTCTGCTGCTCCCATCGTAGCGTGAGGACCCAATCCCAGCAAGAATCTCGGGCAGCCAGACAAAAGTATCGAAAAAAGTGTCGGGCGAGTGCCGCCTCCCAGGGCCCGACACGCGGACACCCCCTCAGGTGTCGCTACTCCTCTTGGTGCTCGAAGTTCTTTCTGGCGATCAGGGCTAAAGTAGGCTGGAACATCATCATCATCATCATCATCATCATCATCATCATCATCATCATCATCATCATCATCATCATCATCATCATCATCATCATCATCATCATCCCATACCATCTTGTTGGCTCCGTGAGCCGGCGCTACTCGACGCCGATCCGAGGCTGAGTCGACGCCAGCCGATGCCAAGTCGACCCCAGTCGATGCTGAACATCGACGTTTCGAATCGACGCTAATTCGGCGTCTCCTCGACGATTCCGAGTAAATGGGGATATGGCGACCCCGACTTTGGGAGGCTCCCGACTAAACCAAAAAATATGGGGCCCAAGCCTGCTATATATATATATATATATATATATATATATATATATATATATATAACGTGGGGGCGCACATTCTCGATAGGGGTGCGTCCGAATAGCCCCCCTGAGGAGTATTCCAGGGTTCCCCTCCTTTCCTGAGCGGCCAAACTTTTTGGGCGGAACTCGGGGATTTGGAAGAATAAATACCTGCGAGCAAACGCAAGTGCACGCCGCTGCACTCTGAAGACGGAGCTCTGAGGACATACCGTCGTCGTCGTCCTCGTCGTCGTCCTCGTTTTCGTCTTCGCCGTCGTCGTCGTCGTCGTCGTCGTCGTCGGCGGCGGCGTCGTCGTCTCCCATGATCTGCTACCGAACCTTCGGGGCGGGCCCGTGGCAGCAGGGCAGCACGGCCACGGGGCCGCCGACGCGGATGGCGGCCTCAATGCAGAAGTCCGTGCGGCGGCCGCACGCGTGGACGCCTCGGGCGCTGCGCCAGGGGGGGGGGGCGGGCGCGGCAGGGCGCACCCGCCGTGCCCCTCTGGGGCCCAGGGGGGGGGGGGCCGCCCTCTGGGGCCTCCTTAGGTGCGCGAAGGGCGCACGCGTCTGCACCCCCCCTGCATGTGTCTGGAGAGCAGAGAACCCACCCTCACAAGGCTCGCCCCGACGAGCGAAGTCGTACAGTTCACGCGCCCGAAGACGGCATCGAGCATGGCAGGGCTGCTCAATAACCACCCAGGGCCGCCCAGTAAACGCCAACTGTTGGGACCAGGTGCTTCTTCCTCTCTTGAGTGATGGGCGAATTTTCCAAAACCACTATAATGAGTACGTCCTCGTCCTCCTCCTCCTCCTTCGTCTCCTCCTCCTCCTCATCCTCCTCACCGTCCTCGTCCTCGTCCTCGTCCTCGTCCTCGTCCTCGTCCTCGTCCTCGTCCTCGTCCTCGTCCTCCTCATCCTGCTCCTCCTCCTCCTCCCTATCCTACCTATGGTAGTGGTGTTGGAAAGTGGGCCCATCCTTGAGCATCGCCCCCCCGCTGCGCAGCGCCCGAAGACCTGTCACCGCCGCGTGCTCCGGGAGGTGCGACGTGCCCGTCGGGTCCTCTGGGGGGCTCTCTCGGCTGCCACCCCGCGGCCAACGTCCCTCCCCCCTCTCTGAGGGGCAACGATAGGGGGGGACTGGCATAGGGGGGATGCATCGACCTGGAATCGGCGATTCATCGCCGATACGTAGCCCCCCGCAGATGCGGATAAGAGTGAGGGGGCGGTGGGGACGTCGGCAGTTTGCGAGACTCTGGAGAAGCCCGCCGCAAGCTCCAAAATTTCACAAATGATACAACGAGCCCGCCGCAAGCGCAAATTTGTTCCGCTAAACCAATGTGGGTAGGTCGCGGGTGGGTCGCAAATTGGTCGCTGGTGGGTCGTTGTTGGATCGCGGGTGTAGAGGGCAGAAAAACCACCCCATCACCCCGACAAGCGAAGCCGTTTAGTAAACGCACACACGGAATGAATCGAACAGGGCAAGACTGTTTAGTCAACGCCCAAGGCCGTTTAGTAAACGTCAATTGTCGGGTCCGGATGTTTCTTTCTCCCTTGAGAGTGGGTCGAGGGGTGGGTCGCGGGTGGGTCGCGGGGTGGGTCGCGGGGTGGGTCGCGGGGTGGGTCGCGGGGTGGGTCGCGGGGTGGGTCGCGGGTGGGTCGCGGGTGGGTCGCGCATGGGTCGCGGGCGGGTCGCGGGCGGGTCGCGGGTGGGTCGCGGGTGGGTCGCCGGTTATGCCGCGCGCCGGTGGGTCGCGGGTGGGTCGCGGGGTGGGTTTTGGGGTGGGTCGCGGGTGGGGTCCCGGGTGGGTCACGGGTGGGATGTCGACAACAAACAACAACAATAACAACAACAACAACAACAACAACAACAACAACAACAATCATTTAAGACTGGGGACACTCCGTTCTCACCAGTGCCAGGGTTTTCATAGGAGGCGGGCAATACCCCCACTTTGTGGGGGGGCCGGTTCAAGCTCTACCAAATTTCCAAACGACTCTTCGCCACCACCCACACCCAGCTTCCCGCCCTATGACGTTCGGACACTTCACTTCGTGGCATGCGGACGACCGTGGCTACTATTCAGGGCCCCGCGGCCGACGACGACGGCGTGCGCGCGCGAAGAAAAAACGAATGTGTCCCGCATGGTATTATTTGACAGGGATGATGGCCCTGGCAGGTGCGCAACCGTTGTTGCAGAAGTTCGAAAAAGTTGCTCGCAAAAGCCCGTTTGACAGAAATGTTTAAAAAGTGTTGGGTTTCCTACGAATCCGCAAGAGCGCGCGGGATGAGATTTTGACATTTTTTTGTTGAAAAACCATTGGTTTTTTGATGTTTTTATGTTAAAATCGCTACGAACACTAAGGTTTTGGAAGGATTTCGTCTTGCGCGCGCGAATGTCCACTTTACCTTATTTTTTGCAAGGGATTCTTGAAATTTGATTATATTAGAACAAGAAATGTCATTTTATAGTGTTTTTTGCAAGGGAAAACGGATTACAACAAAACAACCGGATCTGGATCACATCGTTTTACCTGAGGCTTCCTCACGAAAATGATGAAAATGTAGCTGCGGCCTAGGCGGCGCAGGGGGTCGCGCACCAGGGGTCCCCCAACAATAATTATTCTTTAGAATAAATAATGTTCAACAATTACTAGCACGTGGGGACACTCCGTTCTCACCAGTGCCAGGGTTTTCATAGGAGGCGGGCAATACCCCCACTTTGTGGGGGGGCCGGTTCAAGCTCTACCAAATTTCCAAACGACTCTTCGCCACCACCCACACCCAGCTTCCCGCCCTATGACGTTCGGACACTTCACTTCGTGGCATGCGGACGACCGTGGCTACTATTCAGGGCCCCGCGGCCGACGACGACGGCGTGCGCGCGCGAAGAAAAAACGAATGTGTCCCGCATGGTATTATTTGACAGGGATGATGGCCCTGGCAGGTGCGCAACCGTTGTTGCAGAAGTTCGAAAAAGTTGCTCGCAAAAGCCCGTTTGACAGAAATGTTTAAAAAGTGTTGGGTTTCCTACGAATCCGCAAGAGCGCGCGGGATGAAATTTTGACATTTTTAAAAAACAAAAAAAACATTGTTTTTTTGATGTTTTTATGTTAAAATCGCTACGAAAACTAAGGTTTTGGAAGGATTTCGTCTTGCGCGCGCGAATGTCCACTTTACCTTATTTTGTGCAAGGGATTCTTGAAGTTTGGTTATGTTAGAACAAGAAATGTCCACTTTAGCTTATTTTTTGCAAGGGAAAGCGGGCCGTAACAAAACAACCGGATCCGGACCAACCCGTTTTGCCTGAGACTTCCTCACGAAAATGATGAAAATGTGGCTGCGGCCTAGGCGCGGCGGGGGGGTCGTGCACCAGGGGTCCCAACAATAACTATTCTTTAGAAGTAATAACGTTCAACAACAACAACAACAGCAAAACAACAACAACAACAACAACAATAATAACAACAACCACAACAACAACAACAACAACAACACCACCAACAACAACAATAACAACAACAACAACGACAACAACAACAGCAACAACAACAACAACAACAGCAACAACAACAGCAGCAACAACAACAGCGACGCAACAAGCAGAATTGTCACCACGGATTCCTTATTCAGCCACGCACCCAGGGACAATGAATGACCGTTCGGCCCCCTCATTCTGATATTGGCGATATTGCTCAAAATTCGTTCAAACGGTTTGTCCATGGACCGGATGGCAAAGCTATAGCATGCAAGGAGATCGCCGTATATTTGGGTGGGTTATAAAGCGTGGATGGGAGGCCCAAGGCAGAGCTAACACGACGACTCGGAGAAGCCAGTGGCGAATTCAAGAAGCTATGCGTTGTCTGGAACCACGCAAGCCTGAACAAATTTCGCAAGCAGAGAGTTCTGGAAGCATGTGTATTTTCGAAGCACCTGTACGGGTTGGAATCATGTATGCTTCTTCAGGCAGACCGGAACCGGCTCGACGGTTTCCAAGCGAGGTGCTTACGCCAAATCTTCAAAATCTGCCTTTCTTATGTGTCTCGCGTGAGCAACGCTGGAGTTCCAGAGCGCGCAGAAGCCCGGCAGTTAACTGCAGTGCTACTGGAACGACAGCTCAAACTGTATGGCATTCTCGCCCAGAAGAGCGCCACCAGCTTACCAAAAGCCATGGTTTTCGAAAGTGGTCCTATGAATACCGTCTTGCCTCGGAAATGGAACGTGCCCCGGTCGAGAGGGAGGCCTCGTCTGCAATGGGCAAACTTTCTGCTCGCTGAGGCTTTGTCTGTGGCGCACGATGGCCCAGGCACATTACAGACGCTGCTGCAAAATCCTTCAGAATGGCGTGAGACTGTAGCTCAACATTGTGCAAAGTAGCGTTGTTGTTCTCTTGATTGCCCCGCCCCCCCCCGTCCTTCTCCCTCCTCTCGTTCGCCTCCCCCCTTCCCTTTCTCTCAAAGTGCGCAGTTTCCCCATCGCACCTCGTTGGACAAAAATGCTACAACGACGGTCCCCCGAGGCACTGTGCAACTTTTAGTTTTTTCTCTGCATGCCGGCACGCATGCGATCAGCATTTTCCATCTGCGTGCCGATGCGCCGTCAGGGCGCAGCTTCGTTCGTCCGTTCGTTCTCCGATCGTGAATCCGCACCTTCCTGGGCGGCTTGGGGCTATCGGGCCCTTATATCGGCGATCAGTGGGCGAGGGGTCGATGCATCTCCCACTATGCCCATCCCCCCCTATCGCTGCCCCCGACTCCCGTCCCGTCTCTCTGCTGAACCTCGACAGAACTGCGAGGATGGGCTGGCGGCACCCAGAATTGCGTCACCCGCACACCCCCGACCACGCTCCTGCTCGCCGATCGCCCCTCCGATGCCGACCCCGACTCCTGCTCGCAACACGTGAGGGCCCCGGCCTCCCCACGCTGCCCTCGCAGGGCCGGCCCCGCCGCACCGACATCGCGCGCCTCGCCTCGCCTCGCCCCCCCGCCCGCCCCCCTCCCCTCGCCGCCGCGGCGCCGCGGCGCCGCGGCCGCGCCTCCCAAGACCTTAGGGCGCATGCCGACCGGCACTGCGAGGACCCTCCAGCCGTGGCGACGAGGGGTCTCTGCAGACCGAGCCGCGGCATCGCTACCGAGTCCGCTTCCCGGCAGCATGGCCACACATCCACGGCCTCGCGGTCCAGGCTCCCCGGCCGCAGGCCCCCACGGACGCAGGGCGGCGTGGGCGCGGACGCCGTGCGCGAGACGCAACCGTGGCATTACCCAGGTCGCGAGGGTTTGCACACGACATGGGTACGTTCTCGGAGCAGGCAGGGCGAGCCGAGGCAGCTCAAGGTCGGTCCCTGGACCCCCTCTCCAGGTCCACGCACGGCACCGATTTTCCGAGCTGCGTCCAGCCGGGAAAGCCAGGGGACCCCCTGAGGGCCAACCACCGTTGTCTCGACTCGCCCTCCTCTGAGTATGATCGCGCCTCGGTTCCCGCGACCGCGAGAACGTGGACATGATGTGGACATGTTGGCCGCCCGTGGAGGGAGAGGGGAGGGCGCGGAAAAAGACCAAAACGAAACCAGGTGAGGATAAATTCGGGTAAGGATTAATCGGGAATCTCGGAGATCTGGCAACCCTGGAGGATGTCTCGGGCGCCGCGGCCTTCTCAGAGCGTTCTGGAACGCTCTGGAACGGGTTGATCCTCGTCCTGGCCCCGCCCACGAGTCCCCCGACCCCGACCCCGAGAAATCTGGATTCACGCCCTGGTGCCGGAACCTTTCCCGAGCATGCCTGCCGGGAGCGGCCAAGAGGGGGGTGTCCAAGAAGGGGGGTGCAAATCATGACCGGCGGCATGTGCGCGGCCCAGCGGGGGAGGCCAGGGAAGTAATGAGATAAGAAGAGGCGCCATGAAATCTGGGGAAATATCATGGCCCACGCCATGATCTCCACCCACCCCTAGTCATCACCCCCTCTTTGCCGCCCCCGAGCCTGAGACGGGTAGAAAGCTGCAGTTCTTTGCTGGTCCGGGGGCCCCCGAGGGCTCCCCCAGGACCAAAAAGCCTCCCGTCGTGACCTCTGCCGCAGCGCGAGAGCCTGTCTGGGAGGGGCGGGCTGGGCTGGCGGGCGCGCGTGAGATTGCTTCTTTCCTGTTTTTGCAGAGACCAAGTCGGCGGTGGACAAGCCTCCCTTTAGTAAACCACCCACCCTTTAGTGAAGACGGCCTGGGACCGAAACTGACGGACCTGGACCCGCAAACATGACGGCCGCGACGCCCTCTCGCGAACAGAAAACGGCCAATTCGCTAATCGACGTGTCAGGGTAGGAGGTCTGTCAACCTCCGACCAAAAATTACCGATACCGCTACTCCCCGGACCTCTCCAGGGGTGCGCTC